TGAGAGCCGGCCCAGCCTTGAACGGTGACATGTGTTTACCCTTCCCTTGAGGTTTCTTTTCTCCTCTTTCTCTGAAGGAGCCCAATAACAACACAGCTTACATTTTTTTCAGTATTTTTATGCCATTATTCTTTCATGGAGCAAGAGAATCAATGAATACATTTAGAAGGAACAAGTTGAATGTGTCAAAGTTTAACTTTAGCCTCCTTTGAAATTCCTCATGTAGCCATTTTGGTCTTTGAGAAAAGTTACTTATAATTACCTGACAAAGAGTGAATTTAAGTTAAACACTCTTAAACTAGCTTGTTATAAATCACTTGCAATTGAGAGAATTTTGGAATCAAGCATAGTAAGGTATGATATGATAAGTATGTGTGGTCATACTACAGATACTTAACCAAATGAATTGGTGTCTGTGAAAGCTTTTGTTTTCACACAGATGTTAATTTATTTTACACTCTATTGCACTAGACAAGAAATGTGCAGAAGCTCTTTTTCTTCATCTCAGCTTGACAATTGACAAACTACCTTTGGAGTGAGAAGTGGCAGTTTTTAAGGCACTTTGGAATCTCCTAGTCATCTCGCTGTTCAACAGTCTGAAAGAGAATAAAGGAGAATGCTCAATACAATTCAAGCTTGGCATTTTGTTATTTCTGTTATTTCACTAGCTAAATCGTATTTTCTAAATAGTGCCTTGGCTGTGACTAGGTTTTTCTTTGTTCTTGAACAGTAATCTGCCTTTCCTTGAACAGGAGTTGCCTTTTACACTACTTTTATGCCCTTCTTAAGGGCATCTTTATTCTTTCCAGACTTGCTGCCCTTTATCTTGACAGACGTTAACATTTTTTTCCCAAAGCAGGAGTGTAATTACTTTGGGATTTTTGTTGCTGCTGTTGTTAAAGCTTCATGCAAGACTTCCTCTTATGATTCCTATCCTCCGTTTTCCATTGCTTCTGCAAAAACATCTAAACTGCAACCTTCCTTCTATTATTTATTATAATAATTAAGAAATGCAGTAATAAATTTTTATAACAATGACATACTTAAGAAATCTGACTTTTAGAATATAAATGAGAAGATTAGGTGAACTGATCACAGTCTCTAAGTAAAGAAGATGTCTCTTGAGGAATCTTGTCTCAAACGTTTGTCTTTTATGGTGATTGGAAAATTAATTTAGTCTATAGTTAGTCAGGGTTTTTATGATTGACAATTTTGTTTTGTTTAAAATAACTGACAACCCAATTCACAGAACCACAGAATTGTTGAGGTTGGGAGGGACCTCTTGAGATCATCTGGTCAAGCAGGGTCAGCTAAAGCAGGTTGTCCATGACCATGTCCAGATGGGTTTTGATTATCTCCAAGGATGGAGTCTCCACAACTTCTCTGGCAGCTTGTTCCAGTGTTTGACCACCCTCACAGTAAAAAGTGTTTCCTTGTCTTCAGACTGCATTTCCTGATTTTTAACTTGTGTCCATTGTCTCTTGTCCTGCCACTGAGCGCTACTGGGAGCAGTCTGGCTCCCTCTTCTTCATTCCATCCCACCAGGTATTTATACTCATAAATGAGGTTCCCCCCTGAGCCTTCTCTGCTCCAGGCTGAATAGTCCCAGCTCTCTCTGCCGCTCCTTATAAGAAAGATGCTTCAGCCCCTTACTCATCCTTATGTCCCTGTGCTGTAATTGTTCCAGTAAATAGCTGTCTTTCTTGCAATGGGGAGCCCAGAACTGGACCCAGCACTCCAGCTGTGGCTTCACTAGTACCAAATAGAGGGGAAGGATCACCTCCCTGGACCTGCTGGCAAGGCTATTCCTTACGCACTCTGTCATTTTTTGTTGTGAGGCTACATTACTGGCTTATGTTCCACTTGTCTCAGGTCCTTCTCTCCTGAGCTGGTTTCCAGCTGCTCAGCCCCCAGAGTATTCTGTTGCCTGGGGTTATTCCTCCCCAGGTGCAAGACTGCATTTCCCCTTGTTGAACTTCATGAAGTTCCTCTCAGCTCAATTCTCCATCCTGTTTGAGGATCCCTCTGAGTGGCAGCACAACCGTCTGGTGCATCAACTGCTATTTCCAGTTTTGTGTCATCTGCAGACTTGCTGTGGGTGTACTCTGTTCCATTATCCAGGTCATAAATGAAGATACTAAACAGTATTGGCTCCAATACCACTGTAGACCCCAGTACCCCTGGGGTACTCCACTACAGCACCTATATTGGCCTGCCTGCATATCTTGACCTGTAAGTTCTGAACTGGCTCCTGAACCATCCCAAAGCAGTTCTCCATGCATTCCAGCTGCCCTTTCACATAAAGGGCAACTCTTCCTCATAACTTTCCCAACCTGTCCTTCGTAAAAGACATGTATCTATCAATTGCGATCCTCCAGTCATGTGACTTATCCCACTATGCTTCTGTGATGCCAGTGAGGATTGTAGCCCTGTAATGGCACTCAGACTTCTAAGTCCTCCTTTTTTCTTTTCCCCCATGCTGGATGAATTAGTGTAGAGTCATTTCACAGAGGTACCCAAGCATACTGATTCCCCAGAATGGGCAAGGGCACTTTCCCCATAAGGCTGTTGTGCAGGCACTTTCTTCTTTTCATGCCTATGCTCAAAGGGATTCCTTTGCCTTTTGTTTTCACTGCCTTCATTTTGTCAGTAGTTGAATACAGTACTTTCTGTGTTGGGATTTTTTCCTTTACATTTTTTATTTTTTAAACCTTACAGCGATGAGACTGGACGTGTGCAGTGGGATAATGGAAAAATTCAGGATCTTCAGGACAGAAAAGACTTATGCAGTGAAGACTGGGAAGTGGTACTTTGAGTTTGAGGCAGTAACTGCAGGAGACATGAGAGTTGGCTGGACCAGGCCGGGTTGTCTGCCAGATCAGGAACTTGGCTCAGATGAAGAAGCTTTTGTTTTTGATGGCTTTAAGGTTTGTATATGTTTATCTGTAATAATATTAGGGATTGAAAAACTTTTAATTTTGTGTCTTATTCCATGTGTCATTGCCTCACTTGCCTTCTCTTCTTTCATTTGTGTTTTATGAAGTTATTTCTCTCTCTCTTTGAGGATCTAGGTGGAATAAGGAGAATCAAAGTCACCTGAAAAATTAATTAGCAGGGTTTGGCATTTCTGTAATTTTTTTCAGAGCTTCACATGTTTGTACAGTATATATAAAGCATTGAAAATCTAAATGACTTACTCAAATTGAAAATACTGGCAGAGCTGTAATTAACTATGAATCATTTCTTAAAATTTCTACTCTGCTGTTCTCCCTATAAGAAGTGCCATTAGGGAATAAATGTGGTTAAGATTATTAGAAGCAAGCGTTTGAGGCAAACTTTGATACAAGTTTTTCATAGGAATGTAAAAGTTACAAAGAATATACCTTGTTTTTCATGGAAATCCTTACAGTTTAGAGTAAATGAAGTATGATAGAATCGGTAATTTTTTATTGAATTTAACTCTGCATGAGGCGGTGACGGAAATCTGCTAGTAAAAATATATAGGAAAACAAGCTATTTTATTCGTCAGAATAGATTAAATGGCTCATTAAAACTTTTTATTTCAGTATGAAGGCAAGTGCAACCACTGTCCAAACCATAATTACTCTCAAGGCTGCTGATGTCAAAATGTTTCTTGTATCTGATGTTGAAATTAATTCCTGATAACTATTACACTATGTAACAGAAATCAACAATATTCCTGGCTGTTCCTGGTCAGATCAAGCCCTCAAGATGTGTTTTATTCCTATTGTTGGAATTTAGTTTTTTCCCCAGTCTTGTATTGCATAAGAAGATACCTTAAAAAGAGAACTGAAAAGTTGTTTTTGTAAAATATCTGATTGGCTTAAGTAAACTGTGTCTTTACTAGAATAGCTGTGTAGTAGTTTGCCTTCTAGGGGTCAATACACAAAGCTATTCTATTGTCTTTGATTTTGATGGTTCTCTCCTTGGTTGGAGAAAAGTGTTTGAATTTCAGGATACACAGAAAGCCTCGTTTGTTTTGTAGGATTTTTGGGATGGATACAGAGAATAAAAATCTGCTTGAGATGGAATATATGAGTAGGGAACCTATTTGTTATTAACACTGCTTTGTTTTATATGTGTTACAGTAGTTCTTAATAGATGTTAATTTATTTGAGTTCCAATCCAAGACTCCATCCAAAGCCTTTGCAGTCTTGAAGGTCAGTCATACAAATCAGTAATCATACCCTCAGCTACTCCAGAATCTGTCAGAAGCTCAGAGTGCTTGTCCCATCCACAGACAATTCTGTTCTTTCCAAAATCTGGTATAACAGGAGCTTTAATTTATTTTGTACACAACGTTTCTAGAATTATACTTAAGGAAACAATAAGGTTTGTTTGGAAGCAATTAATTTATAGGCTACTAGATTAAGTAAAAGCAATTGCTTAAAGAAAGTTTGTGAAGCAGCCATTTAACATTGTAATTGATAGCACATTATTTTCATTACAAGTCTTTCATGGAGCTTCTGCAGCAAAATAAGCCATGCTCTTACTTGTTACTAAAATGTTGAAATGGCAATTTTCCCTGTCAGCTTACTTAGCAACGTTTTACAATACTGATGTGAGAGGTGCTTGCAGGAAGTTAATTGTTGGATTTGCATTTTCAAAGTCAACTTGGAGTACTCACAGGCATCATTTTGGAATGGTATGCTGTGAAAATGTGTTAGTGCCGTCTTAATTGAGGTGACTAATTATTAGTTGAACCACTAAGGGAGAGAGGAACACATACATTGTCACTATTACTCTTTGAAATTCTTTTAAATCCTTTTCAGGCACAGCGGTGGCATCAAGGTAATGAGCATTTTGGCCGCTCTTGGTTGGCAGGAGATGTTGTTGGATGTATGGTTGACATGAATGAGCACACTATGATGTTCACCTTAAATGGTGAAATACTGCTTGATGACTCAGGTTCAGAGCTTGCATTCAAGGACTTTGAGGTTGGTGACGGTAAGTACTGTACTCCATTGTGCTGTTAATTTGCTGTTGTTGACCAGTTTTTGCTCTGACTTCCCTTTAATGTGATGTGCTTCTTATTTTTCTTCCTCCCCTGCCTCTCTAGGGAACTACCTCTTGACCTTTTCTCTATTTGATTAGTATCAAGCCTTTGGAAAGGTGTGCTGGGTGTGAGGATGAGGCCAGGTCTTTTTCTGGGGTGAACTTTGCAGCCATCTTTTGTGATCAGACCTTTTCACTATTTTGCAGGGATGTGTGTGGGGTTACAAATTCATGACTTTTAACATTTCATCTGCACGGCAGCAGGTCACCATATGATGTAACAGAATCATCGAATGAATCATAACATGGTTTGGTTTGGAAGGGACCTTTGAAGATCATCTAGTTCAACCCCCCGTGCCATGGGCAGGGACATCAAATTTTATCTAGATCATGTACTGAAATACCACCTAATTTCTGTCAAATTAGTGAGAACATATGGTAGGGAGTTTAAACCAGCTTTAAGGTTTCGTTTTAGCTCTGGGAGGAGAAATGACACCTAATCCAGGAAAAAGCCAGCTGGTACAAAGTTACCCTCCAAAATTTTTTACTTAATTCTAACCCAGCAGATTGAGTTTTGTGCCTGTTGTTGTAATGTTCTTGCTGCAGCTTTCTGAGTCCACAAGCAGGTTTTAGTTTACCATGAAGCCACAGCTTATGAGACTGCAAAAGATGGCAGAGATTACAAGGTTGTGTCAGGTGCCAGTTTGATTCTATACCACAAAAGTACTTTTGTTTATAAATTTAATTACATGCTTGTGTGTGAATAGGTAGATCAAAGAGAAAGAAATTACATTAATGTAGATAACTGACTAACATTTCTGAACTATGCTAACGTAGAAGAAATTATTTTAAGCTTTAATCTTTCCCTTTCATTTCTTGTAGGTACATATATTCTATCATATATATTATACATCTGTTAAATAATACATCTGTTTGTGAAAGATAAATATTTTGAACAGTAAAAACTGCAAATGACACTTTTGGGTTACTGATCCCTATTCCCAGGGGAAATATGAATCTTATACCTATTAATTAGGCAGTTCCCTGCTTGAATTTTAACCACTTTACTGTCATCTGGATTTCAGAATATTTTACTTTCAGGAGTGCTTTGGGAGAAGGAATTTTTTTTTTTTCCTTCTTCTGCCATACCATAGGAATTAGGAATAATTTGATTTCATTTAAAATGAGACAATAGCCACCAATTTTCTAGACTCATGCCTGTTACTCTACTGCCTTGAGATTTCCTTAGATACTCTGAGAACGTGATGAGGGAAAGGGATGCGTGAATTGGCTTACTGTTAGTGGTATAGGCATAAAATCATCCTGGTGCCACTAAATTATGATGGTTTTCCATTTATTAAGCAATACAATCCCATTGAGGAGTGAGGGATTCTGAGAGAAACTGGAATTCCATGAAATTCCAAGGGTAGCCTGTTTGACTATCTTGATTTCAAAGTTGATGAAATCATGGTGGTATAGTTTTGTGGTACTTGTTTCTAGCTGCAGGTTCAGAATTAAACAGATCTCTGGTGAGTCCAAAGCTGCTAAAGTAGTTCCTGGTTTGACATGGAGCCCAAAGGTCTCGGTAACCTTGTCAAAGACTTAATGTCAGTGTCAAGCCTCTCGGATTTTTCAGAGTATCCTTGTAATTCACATTAAGTTCCTCTAGTGTAGTGTTTGTATAAAAGAGCTTGCCTTGGAAATAAGATCTCCTATTCTGTTTTCATAGGAATGTGCTGATTGATCTCAGATGTAATAACTCCAGATCAATATTTGTAAATATTATGAGTGTTTCTGGGGGGGAGGGGGGGGGCATCTATGTGTGTGTGTATACAAACAGACATATGAAATACTCAAATTAAATCTGACTTTTATAGAGCTTTCATTTTTTTGTAGGCTGGCTTTAGTTTGGTTTTGTTAACGGCTCTTGCTTAAGAGCATTGAGACCTTTCTGCAGGTCACTTCTATCAGTGAATCGTGTGCATGCCATCTGCTGCTGCAGAAAGAGACCTTTCGCTTTAGAAAAAAGATAGAATTTCTGATGAGAGCCCAGTATCCTGCTTTGAAGAATGCAGCCTGACTATAAATCAGTCCTGTAGTTTTAATTTACTTAGGAACAGTGAAAAGGGAATATGGCGCTCTGCCAGCTTACTAATAAGGCTCATGTGCTGCTCCTTAGGTTGTACTGCCAACAAGAGGAGCTCCTTCAGATTATGGCCGACTAATTTGTTTGCGAGATATCATCTCAGTAGTAAAATTGTTAAACATAATTGCATATTATTATGCATTTGTGTAAGAGAAATGTCACACTGCAGATACAAACAAGTACACTGTGCAAGCAGAATTTTGTTTTGGCAACTCATGATCTCTGTGAGCATGAATTGTTTGTAGTGGGTGTTTGACAAACGGAGTCATTCTGTATCCTTGAAAGCAGGGAACATAATAAAAAGTGTTGCTGAACTATGCTTTTTGCCACATGTGACGGACAATGCTAGAGGGTTACTTTTCTGGAGGTAGTGTTAAAGTCTGTCTGCTTGTTTCGCTATTTCATACAGTAAAATAAAAGTTTTGCTCTGTAGCCCAGTTATACAGCAGGAGATTAAGAGCTAGGTCATGAGTAAATTATCTTTTTATGTAGCCTCCAGCAGGCAAGGGCTACACAGGATCTGTGAAACATCACATCTAACATGGCTGGATACCCATTTAGAGAAAGGTACTGAAAGTTAATTTTTATTCCATAGTAAGAGATGTAACTGCCTTACCAACACACTGCCTCTAAGATGAGATGCCACATCTTTACCAGATACAGAAGAGCCCTGAAACACCGTAATGACAACTATACCATCGGGAAATCAGTGCAGAATTTCACCAGAGATGGAAGTAGTGCTTCCAAGACTAGAACTGGCACTGGGATTTACATTGCATTCATACAGAGCAACAATTACTGTGTACTTACGATTACTCGCAGGAGTTAGTACAGTACCGTTCTGGAGTCTATATTGGCTACAGTAACATGGTTGACAGAAAATACTGGATTGAATAAAAACATCAACAAGAGTTTTACCTGTGCTGGAATTTTGTTCCGGATTTCTTTGTTTTCTTTCAGGGAATCTTGCAAATACTCATTTACATTTAATTTGTGTGTGTGTGTGTAAAATATTTGTTTCGTGTCTAAGAATGAATCTATCTGTGAGACCTTTTTTTCTGAGCCCACAGGAAAATGCATATGTAGAAGAATTAACAGTTTATGTGCATTCTATTTAGGAAGGGTAAATATTAGTCATATTTTAAATATTTTACATATTTTACATACTCCTGTTTGATTTGGTTTTGTGTCACATACATGTCTCAGTCTTCATGAATAGAGTTGATCATCTTTTCTTGGATGTTGGGCTGCATCTGATTATCTGATCAGCTTTTTCTGTAATGTATGCTTACTGAATTCTGCTGGTAACATCAGCTGCTATTGCTTTTTTGTTTTGTAAAACAATTATTTCCCGTTTGATCTGAGGGCTGTAGTAAAGAGGAACTGGCTATGTGTTAATTCTCAAGGTACTGAAGATAGAGCTTGCTACTTCCTTTCATGAAATGTTTGACTTGTGCAGAAACATTGAAACATTGTTCATATATAGAAATATAAAAATAAATATAGACATATATATAGAGATATGGCATGTTCAGAATTGATCAGTTTATATCTCCTTGTCTTAAACACTTCTTTTTTAAGCTTTTGTTCTTCTGTGTTTGCTATGAAAGTACAACAGTGTTTATACCAAAAGTCTAGTTAGGTCATTATTTTGTTTTCAACAGCAGTGGATAGCAAATGCCTGTGGATACACGTCAGAACAGGATAAGGAGGTAGTGATGCAGTCACCCAGCCTCCAGCGATATCTGGTTCAGGAGCTTTCTGAGGCAAAAGTTGTATGTTTGTGTTGAATAGCCCTGATGGTTTGGGGTGGTTTTTTCTTTGGTTGGTGTTTTTTCCCCCCACATATTTTTTTTTTTTTTTCCCCACATGAAGGTCTCTAAACACTTTGTCAACCAATTTGAGCTTTTAGCATCCATGATCAATTGTTATTGATAAGAAAGTAGTTTCATTCATGTTGGCTATTTTCAGATCTATGACATCCTTTTTGAGATTTGGAAGGCAAAACTCTTTATAAGATTCTAAATGTGGGTGCCATACATCCTGGAAACATCTGAAAATGTTTTACATCAATAAGAATTGGAAATTAAATGGTGAGGTGATTCAGACAAACAAAGCACATGCTTTAGGCTGCGTATACCTATGTGGTTTATAGCAAATGTTTTGTCATTTTTGGTTAATACTGTGAGGATCCATGCCGTCACAACTGTTTCTGTGAAAACCCATTCTCAAGCAACTTGATGTGTGTAGAAGGTTGTTACTGTTCTGGAGTGATGAGCTGAGATTTGTAAGGTTATTGAAAAAAACAAAATTCTATTTAACTTTGCTTAAAGACTTTTGCAACAGCTTATGGATTCCTTCAACTCAACAAGGAGCCTAGTAAATTCTCCCTACTAAAGCTGCTGGGCTTTACCACAGCATATATCTATATATGCAAATATAACTTCCCTAGTTTTGTGCTGTATATGCAATTTAGTTTCATTTAGTGGTGGAAAATACTCTATTGTCTGTCATTGGATTTGCACTAGCAGAATGGACATAAATCATGTTGTCTAAATTATCTATGTTGTCTGAGAGTTGATGCCTTGTGATTTAAGAGCCTTGCGGTGAAGATAAAAATCTGGACTTGAACTTATGACTAATAGTGTATGTCTTTAAATTTATCATGCCTAATATACATATACATGATAACCAATCTTGTGTATCTGTAATAAAATCTTCCAAAGGTAATACCGAAGGCTGATCTTTTATCTGGTGAGCAGTCATTTGTGGTGCTTGGAAGTTTGCTTTTGTCTCTAAAGAACATATCGTGAACAGATATTCTGCCTTTTTTTTTAATCTGGGCAGCCCAAAGAAAGTGAGGCACTAGTTGTATTTTGTCCTTATACCCTTCAGTACCTGTTACATTCACCTGAACCAGAATCATTGAACAGAGCTTCATGATTCTTGTTGGTACAAAAGAAAACATTTTGTTAATAGCTAGGTCAAATGAATCTGGAAAGTGGTTTGTAGCTGTGGAAATTCAAAATCAGAATGAAACAGAATAGAAGATATAAGAGGTTTTCTTAAGTTTTTAGACTGTGATGCTGAACCTGAGGGAAAAAAAAAACCAACTAAGTTTTTTAAAAACGTGCAAAGGAGTCACAAGTGAGTTCCCTGTGCTAGTGAAATAGTAAGAGAGCAGATGCATACAAAGTGAAGCTGATTCAAAAGTAAAAACAAAAAACCCAACCCAAAACCAAACTGCTGTAAGTTTCATGAAGCTACAGTATCATATTGTCAGTTCTTATTATCCAGAGCCATAAAGTGCTAATGAATTTTTTAATTAACTAATTCTAAATTTTTTTTTTAATCTTCAGCATGCACCTGGTCCATATTTGTAATTTTTTTCACTCCTATAGCTGCATGGACAGGCACTATATTACTTTTAAAGTAATTTTTGGGGTTCTCTCAAAATACCATGACTAATGGAACTTTCCAAGGAATATCAAATCTAGTAAGACTTGGAGTAAAATTGGCAGCAGTCTACCAGCTTAGCAGAGAGATTAACCAAGAGCTGGTTGTCAGAATCCTTCCCCCCACATATGATTTCTGTGAAGTACTCTTAGATTTCTGTGAGGTAAATTCAGTGTTGGAGGAAGAGATCCATGGCTATTAGAGAGCTTTTTTCTCGGAATGATATTTGAGATACAGTACTTGGTGACACGCAAGAGGTGATGTGCTGTCGATGACTGCTTGTATTTATACTGTTTGTGTTTTAAATTTTAGATTTTTTTTTCCCCCAAAATGATTTTTAACTGAGTTATGGAAGAGAACAGTCCTCTGATGCTCATGATGTACAACCCATGTGTTCTTTCATCTTGTTTTAAGGATTTCTACCTGTGTGCAGCCTGGGCTCATCTCAAGTGGGAAGAATGAACTTTGGAAAAGATGTTGGCACTCTAAAGTATTTCACTATCTGTGGCTTACAGGAAGGGTATGAACCCTTTGCTGTTAATACAAACAGAGACATCACCATTTGGCTGAGTAAAAGGCTCCCTCAGTTTCTCCCAGTGCCACAAAATCATGAACATATTGAGGTTTGTGATCCTATTAAAATGTTTCTAGACATTTCTTCCATTAATATGTTTGAATTATGTTTCTACTTTTGCACTTCTAGACAAGATTTTTAATGTGATGTGTTGACCCAATTCTGGATGAACCTTGCACCTGTTACAAATTTCTTACATTCAGTGGAGTTGCAAATAATGTAATTATTTGGTTGATAGTATTTCTTTATCCATGAAATCTGTCATGTGTGTAAACATGAGATTCTCAGAGACAAATTCTACAATATATGCTAATTAAGTGCTCCTTGTGCAGTGAGAACTATGTTTGTAAATAACTTCCAGAAATTGGGCATTTCTACATAACAGATACCGTGTGTTCTGGTGCACGTGCTTTGAGAAGTGATTTTTCCATGACTAATTGGTCTTGATTTTAATAAATATTTATTAGCCAGTTGTGTGAACACTTATGTCCTAATCAGTTGTGCACCTTGATGGAACTGAATTCATGCCTTGTAACTTGTCCCAGTTTCGGCTGGGGTAGTTATTTTTCTTCACAGTAGCTGGTACAGTCCTGTGTTTTGGATTTAGCGTGAGAGTAATGTTGATACCACAATGATGTTTTAGTTGTTGCTCAGTAGTACTTACTCTAAGTCAAGGCCAGGAGGGGCTGATCGCTGTTCAGGGATGGGCAGGGCATCGTTTGGCAAGCGGTGAGCAATTGCATTGTGCATCACTTGTCTGTCCTGGGTTTTATTTCTGTCTCTCTTTTTGTTATCTTCCTTTTCATTACTACTACTATTACTATATTTTATTTCATTTCAATTATTAAACTGTTCTTACCTCAACCCATGAGTTTTACCTTTTTTTGATTCTCCTCCCCACCCCACCTCCCCGGTAGGATTGGGAGGAGTGAGCGAGCGGCTGTGTGGTACTCAGTTGCTGACTGGGGTTAAACATGACATATGTCTACCATGAAACCCTTCTGACACTGATGAAATAAGAACTCTCTTTCGGCTGATGTGTAGCACACTGTAGAATTTAAGAAATAATTTGTATTCTTGCATATGTACGTGTATGATTTGTACAAGTTGGTTTGTGTTTATCTAACAATGGAACAACAGAAACCTCCACTCCTCATAGTGTTTATTTCCCCTTAAAATATCAGCATATGGTTACAATACGTTTGACAGTTGACAGAATACTTTTGCAGGTTTTGCTGGACATGGGTGCTTATTCTAGAAATGTAAGTTGAATTTACATAGGGGAAAAAACATCAGCTTCAAAACAACTACATCTTTATATTTGATAGGTGATGAGAATTGACGGCACCATTGACAGCTGCCCCTGCCTGAAGGTCACACAGAAGTCCTTTGGTTCACAGAACAGTAAAACAGACGTCATGTTTTTTCGATTAAGCATGCCCATTGAATGTGCTGAGGTGTTCTCCAGGTCAGCTGCAGGAGGGCTACCAGGCTCTGGTCTTTTTGGCCCGAAGAATGACTTGGAGGATTATGATGCTGATTCTGATTTCGAGGTTCTAATGAAAACTGCTCATGGTCATCTAGTTCCTGACCGGACAGAAAGAGAAAAAGATGCCACAAAACCAGAGTTAAACAACCATAAAGATTATGTTCAAGAAAAGCCTTCACGTCTTAAACAAAGGTTAGTAGCACCTTAACTTACTTTTTTTTTAAACTTTTTTTTTACTTTTTTCTTTTTTTTTCCTGTTTCTTGAATAGTAGAGGAAAATGCCAGTCAGATTTGTAGAGATTTTCCCCTAATTCTGCCCTAAATTTCAAAATAACAGAGTAGGTGGGACAGTTAACCTTCACGTGATTAAATTACATCATGTGCAATATATAGATTAAAATTAAGCAGAAAACCGAAAAAAAAATTCAAGCTATTAGAAACTTCTAATTTGTTTTCTTGTGAAGGCTTTTGTGGATGTCACATGAAGTGCCCTCTAAAACCATTGGGATCCATTCTGACAGAACTGGGACGTCTGCAAAGTGACATGGAATGTTTTTTCACACGGCTTCCAAAAAGCTGAAGGTGTTAGATAATCTTTATCTAGAAATGTATATTAGCTTCTTATCCCACTCAATGAACCAAATAATCATAAGAATATTCTCTAGTTAACATGTTCATTCTCCCTAATTTTTCTTATGGAATCAGGAGCAGAACACCTAACTTGATGCTGTGGAGGTGAAAACACTGAGCCACTACCCAGACAGCATTACTGCAGCTTTCCATTCCTTTTCTGCTGTTCTTTACCAAACTTGGTTTGTTAAATATTTCAATTACAGAGTAAATCAGGGCATATGGATGATATTTTTAAATGCATGAAGGTCATTTAAAGTTCCATGTTCTTCCAAAGTGACATAGGTGTTTAACAGCCTCATAATTTTTTAAGTTCTGTGAGTTTAGTTTCCAGGTAACTTTTGAATATATAGTTTAAGCTCAGAATTCGTTTAAATGCTTTTAAAAATGAGTTTGTCTCTTTCTCTTTTCTGAATAATTTATTTTGTTTTAATCTACATGGAAATAATAAACTAACTAGTGTTATGTATTAATCATGTAATGAATACTATGTATTTAGGGCTAGCATAATAAATACCATGTATTTAGGGATAATCTATCAATGTGAAATTCCTATGTGTGTATATATGGGTATATTGAGCTTTTCATATAGATTTTGGTTTTACTTATTTTATTACAGATTTATGCTCAGGAGGACAAAACCAGATTATAGCACGAGTCACTCTGCACGGCTTACTGAGGATGTGCTAGCGGATGATAGAGATGACTATGATTATTTGATGCAAACTTCCACGGTATCGTAACATAGGATTGGTATTTTAGCTGTTTGCTTTTTCTTTATTTTTTTGTTGTTTTTTTTTTGAGAACTACATGTTTTTGCTTGTAAGACTTTTGGAAACAGTGCAATTTTCAGGCAAAATTTTTAAAGTAAATGTCTGTGGTAGTCCTGTACTACTGAGGTTGAGACCACTATGTTCCTTTTGTTTTGACTTGATTGTCAGTCTAAAACAATTTCCACATGGAAAGTCATAAATTAATTGAGTCCATTTTTGAAACTGCTATTGATAACACCAAACATAAAAGAGGAAGAATTAGTAGTTCTAGAATAATGGAATAAATAGGAAAAAGTGCACTAAACTAATAGGTCAATGTTCAGGACCATTTGAAAACATCTATACTAATTTTACTCAGCATTTATTTCATGGAATTCCCAGTGAAAATTTTGTGCATCTTTCTCTGACAAAGATCAGCTCCATAGGCACTCACTCTTCAATGTTCAAAGGAAAAAATACTTCCCTTTTGGATGTATTCTCCTCTTTCTGGAAGGTACTAGATACCAGAAACTGAGTCACCTACAGTATAAAAATTGTAGCTGCGGTACAAAAATAGCCTACAATGCTGTGATGCAGAAACCTGCAATACAAGCATATAAACTGCATCTTTAATCTCTTCCCTTTTTTATTTTAACATACATATTTCCTTTGCTGTATTTTGATTTGTGTTTATATATTGTTATTTTCCTTATCAGTTACACTTGAACAAGCTTGTGCTACTTTTGAAGAGATGACACATTTTCAGATATTTATAGCAACAAATTAATACTGAATCAAACTGATATACTGGAACCCAAATACTAATATTTACTGACATTATTTTTTTTATTGACAGTACTATTATTCAGTGAGAATATTTCCTGGTCAAGAACCTGCTAACGTCTGGGTGGGCTGGATTACATCTGACTTTCACCAGTATGACACAAGCTTTGACTTGGACAGAGTGCGTACTGTCACAGTTACACTGGGAGATGAAAAAGGGAAGGTTCATGAGAGGTTGGTTACAATTTTCTTAAAAAGATCCATATTTTATATCCATAAAAGCAACTAACAATTTATAAACTCGAAATCCACCCCATTTAATGTAATAGGGTTGATGTAAAAAAAAAAAAAAGTAATGAGAAAAAGTGTAACTTTTTTGTTTTCTCCTCTTCCTTGTGAAGAAACAGTAATGATCTAATCAAATCAATAGACACTGAAAAGTAAAATAGCGCAGCTTTTCTATGTAGTTTCATACCACAATCCTATAAATACCAACTTTTAAAATGGTACAAAGTAGAGCAAAATACCTTGTAGTATTTTTGGAACTTTTTGGTTTTGAGCAGGCCAAAATCAGTACAACAACTCCTCTCAGCGCTTCAGCTTGTGACCCATGCCAGAAACTTTGTGTTCTGCTTAACGTTAAATGATTTAAAACATTAACTTGCAAAGTCAGTTTTATCTCTTGGAATTTTACAAAAGGTTTGAGATTGTTTATATTTTGTCATCTTCGGTTTTTATTTTTTCAATTATGAAGTCTAGGTTTCATTGAATTTTGGCGTTGGTTATGGTGGGATCCACTGTTTTCAGCGACAAGGCCCTGTTGGTTGGAGCCATACAAAGTTGTTCTTAGTCCGCTACATAAAGTTTACACACCATCCATAAATAAATTTGTCTTTTGACATTCAGTATAAAACGCAGCAACTGCTATATGGTGTGCGCAGGAGAGAGCATGAGCCCTGGACAAGGACGTAATAATAATGGTCTGGAGATTGGTTGCTTGGTTGATGCTGCCAGTGGCCTGCTGACCTTCACAGCTAATGGCAAGGAACTAGGCACATACTATCAGGTGAGTATTTTTTGATGATGTCTCCCAGTGGGAAGGGGGAAAACCAAATCCTCAGACTGCATCCTTAAAGAGGGCTTTAAACTAAAGTTGTCAGGGGAGGGGAACCTCAATTCATCCCAGTCCTCCCAGTTTGAGGTCAGTGCCAGCAATAGATGCCCAGAGCCTGGAGAGGGATCACAGGTCAGCAGGAGAGTGCCTGAAGAGCAGCACAAAGGAATCTCAGCCACTCCAGACAGTAAGTCAGCTTCATCAGGGGCCCAACTTAAATGGCTCTATGCAAGTGCACAGTCTGGGCAGTAAACAACAGGAGTTAGAGACATGTGCACGCCTGCAGGGCTGTGATCTTATTGGCATCATGGAGATGTGGTGGGATGGCTTCTATGGCTGCAGTGTTGGAATGGAAGGATATAGGCTCTTTCAGAAGGACAGGCAGGGGAGACAAGGAGGAGATGGCACCCTCTATGTCAATGACCAGCTAGAGAGTGAATGGAGGTCCACCTGGGGATAGATGAGGAGCTAATTGAGAGCTTGTGGGTCAGGATTAAAGGGAAGGCAGGGACAAGTAACATTACAGTGAGGGTCTGCTACAGGCTACCTGACCAGGAAGACCGAGCGGATGAGGCCCTCTATAGACAGATAGGAGCAGCCTGACTTTCAAAAGTGTTGGTCCTCATGGGAGACTCCAGCCACCCCGGTACCTGTTGGAGGGACAACACAGCAGGGCATAAGCAATCCAGGAGGTTCCTGGAATGCGTTGATGATAACTTCCTTCTCCAAGTGACAGAGGAGCCAACGAGGAGAGGTGCTATGCTGGACCTTGCTTTCACCAACAAGGAGGAGCTGGTGGGGAATGTGAAGCTCAAGGTCAGCCAGATGGCTGCGGTAACCATGAAGTGATGGAGTTCAAGATCCTTAGGGCCATGAGGAGGGTACACAGCT